AGACAAATAACATATGATTTCACTTATATGTAGAATCTAAAGAACAAAATAAATAAACAAACAAAACAGGAACAAAGTCATAGATACAGAGAACAAACTAATGGTTGCCAGATGGGAAAAGGGTTGGGGAACTGGTGAAAAAGGCGAAGGGATTAAGAAGTATAATTGGTAATTACAAAATAGTCACAGGTATATAAAGTCCAGCACAGAGAATATAGTCAATAATATTATACTATGTATAGTGCCAGGTGGGTGCTAGACTAATTGAGGATCACCTCATAAATTTTATAAATGTCTAAGCAGTATGCTGTATATCTGGAACTAAACTGATATAAAATAAGAAATTAAAAAAAATAGATGCAGACTCTGCCCTTCAAATCTTAAAAAAAAAACAAAAACCCGTAAGACCACATGACATGAACTATTGGATTGCCAGAAAAGTCATGACGTATTTTTCTATGTTTTTCATTGCAAAAATGCGTCACGGCTTTTCTGACAACCCAATAATTGGAAGATGGCATGAAGTGAGTGAGACCCATTTTGGTCTCATACTGTGGGATCTACAGTAAGTTGAGTGGAATAGATAATGATGACAGCTGTAATAGACAGAGGTTTCAGGGGAAAATGGGGCTCACTCAGACTAAAAAGGTGAAGTTAGAAAAGTATTCTAAGCCAGGGGAATAGCAGGAATGAAGGGAGAGGTAAAGCTGAGCTTGACATGTGCAGAGCAGGGAAAAACAACCTTCTGGCAAAAACATGTTTTCTGGGAGAAACAATGGGAAAGGTTGGGAGAGCAAAGATGGGTTCAGATCTTGAAGAACTCTGCTTCCCAAACGGAGAAGTTTAGGCTTCATCTTTTGAACAATTTAAACAACAGCTGAACATTTGGAGATGTTTAAGCTGGGTTGTGATATGACATCAAGGGTAACAGAGCGCAACGACCTGCACCGCGGCCTTGCACCTGAGTGCCCTGCAGAGAAGCCTGGCTCTGTGGATTGGATGATGGCGAAGGTCTCAGCTGTTCATTCAAGTGCTCACTCATTGCCTCCCTTTGCACACTTTCATTGCCACTTTGAGAGATTAGTCACGAATAAGTATAATCTCTGACCTCGGAAAACTTATAATGGGGGGACCAGACTATGACACAGTGAAATGCTATAATCAGGGCATCTCAGAAAATATACACACAGATAGCTAGATATCATGTCTGGTTTCTTCTGAGGCTTCTCTAGGCTTCCAGATGGCAGCCATCGTACTGTGTCCTCACATGGTCTTTCCTCTGTGCACGTGCACCCCTGGTGTTTCTATGTGTGTCCAAGTTTCCTCTTTTTATAAAGTCACCAGTCGGATTGGGTTAGGGCCCATATTAATGGCCTCATTTTAACTGAATCTTCTTTAAAGATCCTATCTCCAAATACAGTCATTCTGAGATACCAGGGGTTAGGGTTTCAACATATGAATTTTGAGGGGACACAATTTAGCCCCTAAAATATGTATACATTTAACTTGCTACCGCTTTTAACCACAGACACAAACACAAAGGTCAGGAACTTCATTTGCATATCACAAAAAGTCTAAATGTGGGGTCCTAAATGAATAGTAGGCTTGACCCTGACAACTGGCATTGACTCTGGCTCTTAGAAAAGTTTAAACCTGGCTCACTGACAGATGGATTAGGAGATAGCATCTTTGTTAACCATGGTAGGACAGTTTATGCTGAGGTAACAAGTAAACCAAGGAAATCTATGATTTGACATAAAGATTTACTTCCTGTTCAAACAACATCAGGGACCGGGTGAGTGACCCTGTGGGGGAGCCCTTGTCAAAAATAAAGCCAGATACTAGTTATAATGGTGAAAATAGCTTTTAATCAGTAATATACTATTGCAATAGTAAATAGTCCAGAGTGAACTGGACTCAACTTTGATTTGTTCAGAGGTCACTGGGCATTTAGAAGGCAGAATGAGGAAGAATGGAGGGGGGCATGTGGGAGATCTGTAGAGTCAGAGAAATGAAAAATTACAAACAGCAAGAAGAGGGGATTGGTCCATATGAAACCCACCTGGGTTTGCTCCCGCATGGAAGTTAGGCTCCTACCCTCCCACAGAGGCTGGGAGGCAGGGGCCCATCTTCAAGTGTTGGATGGAACAAACTATAAATTCTTTTAGTGGCCTTGAGTTTTTGCAGGCACTTTCATTGGAGCTAGGGTCATCCTATGGTTGTGGCCTTAGGCTGTGGCCTGTTAGAAACTATGTTAGTGTTCATTCAAATCTTTACAGGCCAAGGTGGAGGCCTAGTCGACAAGAGGGCTTTGAGGAGCCTGGTGCAGAATCTGGTCAAGAATAGAATCTTACTCACCCTCCACCATTCTGTGGCTCAGGGTTCTACCCTGAGAGGTCCCAACAAGGAGAGAGCATAGGATTCCTAGAGGATGAATGGAACTATGATTGGAAAGCTAGGCCCACACTGTAAAGAGTCTTGAAGAACAGCAAAGTGTCTGAACTTCTTTCAGATAACGGGGAGCCAATGAAGGCTTTTAGGCAGACAAGCTGTCAGCCTAAGCTGTATTACATTATTTATCTGCCATGAAATACCAGGGGTGCCAAAAAATGTATACAAATGGACACTTGGCTCAACATTGCTCAAGCAGTAGTTCGCCGTAATCAGAAGTGTCCGGATGCTGGTGGTAACCACTTTGAGCACCTCTTGTAATTGTAGAAGTCAAACGTGACTTGCTCGAAGTGGTTACCATCAGCATTATTTTAATACAGTTTTCCTTTCTTAAAATGTGAATATGTTTTTTTTGGCACCCTCTATATATTGCCCTCCAGTCTTTATATCTAAAGCAACCTCCCACTTTTAAAGATAATAGCTAAAAATCATTTATTGGCATAATTCCTAGAGGGGACTTTCTTTGTAGCAGTTGATTTCAGTTTCCCACTATGGTGAACTCTACAGTTATTCTGCAAGAGAATTACTCTAAAAATTCTCTAAGTCTTATAGACTAACGGCAGCGTTTTGGGTCACTTTCAAGAAAATAATGAAATGGGGTCATTAGGGATCATGTTTAAAAAAAGAATGTTATATGCTATTCTTGGAACTGTAGGACTTGTAGTGGAAGCTGCATCATGAGAATTTCATAATCTCAGAGTAATATATTTAGTAACATACTATTATAATTGCACATGGTATTAGAAAAAAATATATAATTCACCCTCAGAATAGTCAGGTAGCAGGTTAAATAAGGTGTAGACATGGAAGCACAGAGAGAGCGAGAAGAAAGCTGAACTGGGACTCTTAGGCCCTGGGCTGCAGCCCACACTGGCCCTCTTTGTAGCTCTGACCCCTCTCCAGCTGTGATATTAAACTTCACCATGCTGAGACCTCCAGAAATATAATCAAATGGACTCAAGGGAAGTACAAAGAGGGGGGAGGTCAAAAAGAGGGTTGTCTGATAATCACACTCAGGAAAACACATCTTCTAAAGCAAAAGGAAAAGAATTAGGCTCACGCGAGCTGAAGAAATGTGAGCTTTTATTGGCACAAAAAATTCAATTAAATAAAACATTTTTAATCCATGGGAATTCAATACTACCCAATTATTATCACAAGGAAATAATTTAAGAACAATGAAAAACATTTTCTGGGAAAGTAGAAATTGATAACTTTGATTGAAAAATAAATTCTATTTTATTGGAATAATTTTTAAAATCATAAAAATAAAAATGGCACTTTGCAGTTAATTAGCTATGTCACAGTAACTTCAGACTCTCAGAGTTCATTTTCCGTCATCAGATGTGATCATCAGTCTTGAAAACCTTATCCTCCTTAGAATCAATTGTAACCCTTATATGAAAATATACTGAAATCATATTCTCTTTCTGGGACTTACACTAATTTAAACCATTTCCTGGAGAGAAGACATATTAATGATATCTGCAGACATTTCAGAAGATTTAGCATTCTAAAATGGACCTTACAGGGATGATTTGTTCTTACTAAATCATATATAAGACCGAATAAGATACCAAACAAAAGCTTCAGATTTCATAGCAGTACATCGAGGAGCTGTGATGAGTGGTAAAATGGGCACATGTGTATGTGGTGACTGTTCCATAGCTGTACTGCTGCTCTTGACAAGTGTGGGTAGTTTAATCAAAACGAGAGAAAGATGAAGTAATGATACCTTCAGTATTACTTACAACTCAACAAATATTAATTGGCTCCTGACTATCTGGCTGTTTGCCAGGCGCTAGAGGAGCTACTATGGTGAAAGAGGCACACCTATTCTTTGTTCTCTGGGAACGTAATTCTAATTCTAAGAAACAATAATGAGAATTCATTGAGCACCACCTTATACTAATCACTTTACATATATTGTCTGACTGACTCCACAACTACCTCAGTGACACAGATACTATTATTTCCCTAATTTTTCAGATGACAAACAAGCTCAAAAAGTTTAAAAAACTATAACAAGGCACCCACCTAGAAATGGTAGGGATGGAATGCTTTTCACCACTGAGTTATACTACCTCTGAATCCTGGTGTTTCAGAAATCAATTGGAAAGTCAGCAGAATCTCACCGTTTATTTTTACCCTTTGGGCCAAACTTAGGCATCGATGGGGGATTCTGTCTTTGTTGGATCCATTAAAATACATTGTTGTAAAGCACCGAAGTGACAGTTCTAGTCACTTAACAGATACTGCACATTTTTTTGTCCTCTCTGCATTGCTCTAATACTGTATGTTTCATGCCTAAAATGTGACTGCAAAGGATTTTGGACCAGGGTTTTTAACCTACTGACTATAAGAGTAATACCCTATGAACCTACTGGTAGTGTTGGCATTAGCTCAAGAGATCATAATCACTTTGTTTGAGTAATTGATGGCCATCCCACTCAATCATACCATATCTGATCCTTTAAATACAGCAGGAACCCTCCCTTCACTGCCGCAATCCCAGTAAAATTCTATCTTATTTAACCTGGAGCTCTTTGACACTTCCTTTGCGGCACCATGAAAGGACTCCCTATACCTCATGACTATCTCTTCACATAAACTGTGTTTTATTATAGAACATGATGCAAACAGCCCCTGCTAGGCTATCTGTTGCTTCTCTCTCTCTATGCTGTCACCCCTTCTGAACCCTGAACAGTTCCCCAAAGGTAAAATCATGATCTAAGTCCACATACTCAGAAGTCCTACCTTCCAGGCCAAGCTAGAGACCCCTTCCATCAACAAGGCCTCTCTAAAGAGTTCCCTCCACCATACTATGCATTAGTTAGGATAATGGTTCTTCAGCTTGCATCAGTACCACTTAAAGGCTTTTTAAATTATGCATAGCTCAGACCAAACCCCAGAATCACTGACTCTATAATAGGGGATAAAATCAGAATTTGCATTTCCAACAAGTTGCCAGGTGATGCTTATGTTGCCACTGGAGACATGGCTTAAGTAACTACTTACTAGTATTAAAGAACTAATGTCTGATAGTGATTTGCCTTGTTGATTAAATTAGAGTGCAGTTGAAGTTGCTCCTAAAATGTACATGCACACTTTCATTCAGGTATACTTTGTATACAGAGGGTGCTAAAGAAAAAACGTATACACATTTTAAGAAAGGAAAACTGTATTAAAATTGTAATACTCAATGTATACCGATAACAAAAGATGAATACAAGTCACGTTTGACTTCTGCAATTACAAGAGCTGCTCAAAGTGGTTACCATCAGCGTCTCTAGACACTTCTGATTACAGCGAACCACTGCTTGAGCAACATTGACCAGTTTATATTTGTATATATTTTTTGGCACCCTCAGTATTAGTAAAGAAATAGATGTTATTACAGCCAGTGTACCCACAACTCTTATAGGCACAAAGCCTTAGACCACATTCCGCATGGCTGAGCCCTTTTCCTTACCCACACCTGTGCTAACTTGCTAACCACTGGCATTTGTGGGCTCCCAAGTGTGAGATCCTAGGCTTGGTTGTCTCCTAGCTGGAGTTCAATGGAGTAGAGTTTTCCTATGAAGTAGAATCAAGCTTTAGACCCTACAGGGTACCTTGAATGTGTAAATGTCCAGTTCACTGCCCAGACTTTATCTTGAACAAGTGATAATGTAGAAGTTACAACAAACTCCTCAAGTGAGGCTTTTGTTTGTTTTTGTTTTTGCAATTTAATGAAATGATTCCTACAGTTTATACTGTTGTTAGAACCTGTACATTGAGAGTAGTGTTCCTATGTATGAGTGAATTAGTACTCCTTAGGTAAGTCCCAATGTAATTTTCAGCATTATATCTAAAGTGACACTGCTTTGAACAGCTGCATTTGGAAGATACTGCAGTCTGTAGTCTGATCAGCCATCTGTTTCCCTAGATTTATCGTTCTGCTGCTTGATAAGATTTTATATATTTCATGGCTGATTTTCTATTTAAATGACGTATATTATCTTTTTACTTTGTACTTCCCCAAAGTATTGATTTGCTTTCTGCATGTCATCCCTAATTTCAAGTTTTCATTGTAATCTTAAAAGTCTTTAAAACAAGCTCATAGTCACATTCAGTGAATTCAGCCTTGTGAATTAAACATTTCTCCTGTTTAACTCTTTGGAGTATCTCCCCAAATTGATTTTAAGCCACAAAGAAAATTCAGATGAATACATTATAAAGGAAGAAAATAAAAGGTTTTTTGTCCTTGTTTTTCTATATAAAGAGGTGGTATATATCTCCTGTTATTGTTGCTTTCTCTCTTCTAAGAAAATCACATCCCCATTTGGTTTAGGATAACTCAAGCTACTTAAGTAAAAGCAGTAGGGTGCAAACTCATCAATACATTCTTAAGTGACTGAAATAAAATGTAACTAACAAAGTTTGGGTTTTTTTGTTTTGTTTTTTTTGTTTTGTGTAATTAATGGAAGCAGAGGGCAGCCTTAGGCTCAGAAGTAGTTATTAGATAGAGAAGGAAAATGTGAAATTAGGATGAAAGAACTAGAAGGGAAAAGGTTAGGTAAGGTTTTTTAGCAAATAATGCATGAATAACTTAGTAAATTGAAGGTGTGTGTATTGAGATATTGTGATACAACAAAAGCTAAAGCTTTATATTTTAAGAGGCTGTCATGATATTAGTTACTAAGGCTTCTTATTGAAAAATATTGGAAACATTTATTGCTAAGTACATGTACAGGAATGCTCTAACCCCACTTACAATGAAGTCTTTAGGAACATTAGAGGAAGTTGAGAAAAAAAATTAAAGAAATTTGACATGGTATATGTACATTGAAGGTTAGGAGCTAGAAACCCGAGAGATGATTCAAAGCAAAATCAGGTGTCATTGATTCAGAAAGCGAGAGAGCAAAAGGGGGGGGGGGGGAGAGAGAGAGAGAGAGAGAGAGAGAGAGAGAGAGAGAGAGAGAGAGAGAGAGAGCAAAATATCTTCAGAGTATTTAGTAAAAGAAATGAAGAATTTTGTGATGGAGTATATTGTATTAAAATGGAACGGGCCCATGTCAATATCTTCCAAATATACTCAGAAATATGACAAATTGTTGTCTAAATATAATAGTTTAATTGAGAACCTTCTTTTGGCAAGGGTATAGATTTAATTATTGCTTATTAAAAGTTGAAAAAGACATATGAAAATTTGTCTGATTAGCATTAATCTCTACAGTGTGTATATAAAACTATGTGCATACCTGTATACATTTGACTTTGTTTTTTCCTAGACTATCAATAAAGTACTGCTTCAGTATGCTGCAATTTTATCAAGTGATTTCATTTCGTATTGTGATAAGGAAAATGTGGTAAGTAAAAATGTCTCTACTTTTAAGTATTCCTCAGTTGAGATCCACTTCTTCCAACTAATAAATAAGCAAGAGAAATTTTATTTGTTTCCATACAGGATGATAGGAAAGAGAGCTATCAAGAAGTTGTTTGAAAACTTCTCTCGTCTTGAACTGGTTACAGTATGGAATTCAGAAAAAGGTTGAAAGCATCCCTATACTAGGCAACTTCTGGTGTTCCATGACAATAAAGAACAAGACATAAATAATTGAAAACCCATCTTATTATAAAACACTGGAGCTGAGAACTAGGGAGTTTTAAAGTTGTTTAGTGTTTGCACCAACTGGTTTAGTTTTGCACCAACACTAAAATGAGCATAATTTAGTCTTTCAGTTTTCAAATAAATTGAGGATTGTTAATGTAAGAAATGATGCTGAACTTCTACTCTGAGTTATAAATTCAGCCTTTATTCTTTTGGATGATTGAGAATGTTTATAAAAACCAAAGCAGTATTGCAGCTTCATCAATAAAAGGTATAAAGAGAAGCAAGGTAAAGTGGTTTGGAATACAATGTTATTTTATGATGAAAGGTGAAATGTTTCTTATTCACCATATGTAATATTAGACAAATATGTTGGTAAATTATAAGGATTAAAAAAACAGCACTAAAAAAGGTATTAAAAAGTCAGTACAATGGTTTTAAAGAGGAAAACCATTTCCTTCCTCAAAAAAATCAGCACTATCAGGCAAGTCTAAAAGAGATCTCTAAAGAAAGCTACTAGTCTGCTTCCTGAAACCTCACTGACTGACCTCTTGCTGACAGATCATTAATGTAAGTCAGTCCTAATGGTTCTTGAGGGTCCCAGAAGAGTCTTCTTTCTTTTTAATTAATATGCTGCCCAGGAATTGTATTAAAATTCTCAGTATCTCAGCAGATATCTCTAATTGCCATTGATTATAAGTACTCTAATCGGCAAAAAAGTATTTCTTGAAAGCGCATATTTGTAATTAAAGGATAATACATTTGAAAAGTAACATACTGAAAATAAAAACAGTGCCAGATATTGTAATTTCAGAAAAGATTCTGGTTTTATTAGAAGATTTTGAAAGGTGGCTGTGAATTACCAAGGCTAGTTCCTGTCATTCCGAAAGGAAAACCACTCTTAAAAGGCCCCTGCAGACTTCCGCTTGTGTTAATGTCCTAGAGTATACTTTTTAATTTTAAAAACTGAGAAAAAAATCATAAATCAGTGTTTATTGTACTCTGTTTTTCCTGTATATTTTACACTTTTCAAAATCAAATTTTTATAAAGAATAATAAAACAACCTTGCAAATACTACAGTACAGGAACTTACTTTTCCTTTCCTCGATACTTTTCTCCCTAATTACTGATATCTTGACCAGTCTTAGAGTCTCACTCAAATGCCACATATCATTTTAGCTTTTCTTTTCCATCAAAGAATATCAGTTAGTTTCTTAAGTTTGTGCTTTCCTTTCAGCTGAGACAAATTGAAGATGTACTTTTGTACATTTGTGTCTACATATAATTATTGTTACAGATTTATTTCAATATCAAGAACTTATTACTTTTTCTTTTCACAGTATATATATGGCCATATACCTATTTCATCTGCAAATTGAGCTAGACATTTAAAAGAGAGAGACATCTTTTATGAGATGACCATAACATTTGCTTTCTTGGGGGTTAAAATTAAAGACAACAGTTACATAAAATGCCTGTGGCAAATCATTTATTCTTTACTGTGACACTTTAAATAGGAAATGTATCAGGAGTTTTTTAATCCATTTTCCCCACATTCCAAAATATAGCAAAGCAACATTATCTAAATCAAAATTACTTGATTTTGAATCTTTTTAAAAATCTTTTTCAACTCAGAAACATACTTCGGTCATGTAGAAATGGCCATAGTCTGAACAGAACTTTCATAGTCATTGTATTTTATGCTTCTATCTTTGTTGCAGATTTACATCCAATGAAATGCATTATGATATTTTCAGAAGAAAAGCCAAAATATATAAATAAAAAGATTCCAAGGTTATTTAGTCTAAGTTAATTCATCAACAAATGATACTCTGAATAAGGTTAAAAGTTAATGTTCTCTTTACTATGGGTGTTTGCTTTTTGGTTTGTTTTGTTTTGTTTTCATTTTTGTTTTTTCATTTACAGTAGAACTGTCTGAAGTAAAAGCTATTTCATGATTAGGTTTAAGGTAGATTTGTGTAATTCGAGTCAATTCTCAGTAGTATTTTGACAAATTGATTAAATAAAATTGAAATTTGAACATTTCAAGTTTAGGGAAAGCTTAATCCAAGAGGAAAGTCTCATATTGACTTTTATCTCCCTCTAGATAACTGTACCTCTTTTTTCTATGTAGCGTTACCTAGGGTCGGTAGCAATCCATGCCAAGTGAGCCCAAATGTCTGTGTTCATTTTATTTCTTAGTAACTCTTTTCCATCAGAGATGATCATATTAAGAAGGCTTGAAAGTTGAATTTTTATTTAGAAAGCTGGTACTAGAGTACTATTGTATATACAAAAAAATCTAAGCTTGAATGTTCATATGAAATAATCAAAGAAGACCCCACCCAGCTAACTTAGACCCACAGGGAGAAGGGAGAGAAAATCTTCCTTCCATGTAGCCTTCTTGCTTCTCATGAAGAGTCATGGACTTATTTTGATCTTAGTTTCCTCCCTGGTGGGGTTGCCCAAATCCAAGACAAATCTTCCCCCTCTGCAAAAAAAAAAAAAAAGAAAAAAAAAGCCAAATAACCTACTCCCTAGTGGAAAAAAGTCTGCTGGCACTGTTTGTTGACTTTGGGTTAAGATACTGAATCCCCTGGAAGTCTGACCACACGTGCTATGGAAAGGGTAAGTCTAGATCAGGTGGTCGTCAGTCATGGCATCAGAATCATGTGTGGCACGTGTGGGTCAGCTTTCTGAACAGCCTCTGTGGGAGATAAATAGATATCTGTGTTTGAAAAATAAAATATTTAAGTGACTATAATCGAGGAAACAGAATAGTTTAGAAATGTTTCGTAAATCAAAGGATGTGGTCGTTTTAGCATCAAGTAGAAAGTTTGCAAAGGTCAGTAATGTGGTTACAGCAATAATAAAATCTCACCACTGGTGAGAGCTAACACCTCTCTGATGTCCTCCGTCCTTGGCATGCCTCTCTGATTCATTATTGGCTTATTTCCCAGCAACTTGGAAGATTTATCCATTTTCCTTTCTTTCCCGTTTTTCTTTCCCTTGATCTACTGGCTCTTAGGAATCAGGGTGTAGCAAATATAAAATTATTAGAACTATTCTGAATTTTATTTTCCAATTACAAATTGATTTCTACTATTCTAAAGTCTTCTAGTCTTGTCTCAAAACTTTACATCTTTATGCTATTGATATATAGCTGCCTCCTTGGAAACAATAACTTGAAACATTTTGTAAGCAAGTGTAAGGCTCTGTGCCTTACTCTGAGAGAAAAAAGAAAGCAGAAGACACAGTAACATGTACAGTGCATGTATGGTCAGTTAGTGAGACAGTTAAAAGCAATTCAGATGTAAAGCAAAACAAATGTCAAGTGAGTGGCAAAAGGATACAGTCTAGGAAAGAGAAGGCTGTAGCCTGAATGATGGATCTGATTCAAATGGCAAAGAGACTAAGTGAGGAGGCCACATGCTAAGCCAGTCACAGCATCTGGAAAGTGCAGGTGTTTGGAGGGAATAAACTGAGGGTTGAGAGTTCATGATAATGCGGTAAATGGAGATGAGAAGAGCCAGACAAGGAAGGGTCTTGAATACCAACATGTGGACTTCATTTGTAGTCAAGGAGAATTTATTTAAGGTGATTTTGTTTTGGGTTTTGGTTTTTAATTTTCTTGGATTTTTAAAAGTTCAGGATGGTGTTTTGGTTTTTAAAACAGTGAAATAACATAAACATTTAAACTCATCTGGTTTTCTTATAATAAATCTTTAAAAACAGAATTCGGTTAGTTTCTAAGTGTAAAATGCCATGATGTTAAGAATAAAAGAAACTTTAGTAGTAAGTCTTCTATGGTTCCTTGTCTAAGTATAGTACTATATTTTATTCTTCAAAGTGGTCATTATATATTCCCCTTCCATTCTTAACTGTTAAAATGCATAATCTTAAAAGAGCAAAATTACTCTATTTGCCAAATATACAAGAACTTCAGTGGTAGTTGTATATATTATTATATGTAAGGCAAACTCATTCGATAATTTAGTGTATAAAGGATTCTCCCACTTTTTAAATTAAATTTATTGGGTGACCATGGTTAGTAAAATTTTGTAGACTTCAAGTGTACATTTCTATAATATATCATCTATATATTGTATTCTGTGTTCTCACACTTTTTTTGTTGTTGTTTGCTTTATTTAAAGCCCTGTATATTGATGAACAATATTCAACAATTGCGGGTCCAGTTGGAAAAAATGTTTGAATCCATGGGAGGGAAAGAGGTGGGTATGTTTTTAATGTTTCCATTTGCCAAATACCTACTTAGAGATCATTAGCAGCATATCTCTTTAATGAAGGTTTTATAATCCAGTTTTACATAGTTTAGCTAAAGCAAAGGAAATAATAATAATCTAAAACCACATTAACAGCTAAGGTGATTATTATGTCCACAACAGAATATGTTAGTAAATACATTACCAGTATGACTGGGAGGAGGAAGAGGGTCAAATAGTCTTTCGTAGTGTATATGTATATAGTCATATATATATATATACACAATTAAATATGCATATGCTAATGATCTGTGAAGTTTCACAAATTGCAGATTTTTTAACCATGTTGTACAATGTCAACTTGATGTCAATGTTTGTTCTGAAATGTGTTTTGTGGTGCTGATGGTTTTTGATATGTTGGTGATTTGTTGTTCGCGTCTAAAAATGTCTATGAAAAATGTCCTGCGTGCTGTGTCTGTAATGTGTCGTGTCTTTGTTCAACATCTTTGACTTGCAATTCCATGAGCAGAAGAAGGAAGGAGAAAGATTCTTTTATGAGGTTTGTGATAGTAAGCATCTTATCGTTTCCCTGGCTGATTTCCCGCCTACACCTAAAGACCATCGCACTTCCCACTTATTCTCGTTTGCTTGTTTGGATCAAGCAAACAGTGCAATACTAGCTGTGCACCTGCCTCCTCCTGCTGCCACTGTCTTTCCTTTCACAAACCAACATGAGCATCTCAAGAAGTAAGGTCTGGACATGGTGCTGAGAGGGGAGGTCATGCAGCGGCATCCTCCCACCCTCACCCCCTCCATAAAACAACCCCAAGGGTGGCTAGCATATAGGGATCTTTCTATTTAAGGTTTTATTTCCCTTGTTTCTTATTGTGGTAAGACTGTGAGATGTACGTAAAACTAGATTGGATTTCAGAGCAGAGATCCCTTTTTATTTCTAAGCGGATAAGGTCAAACCAAAAGTGCTTCTTTTTGAGATTGGGCCTCTTCACACGTGAGGTTGACCCAAAAGAGAATGTACACATTTTTCCCTCCAAGTGTCTTTTTCGTCATCCTCAAGCCCCAGTCTTTTGAAAGATGAACTTCCTATTTAGCATCCTACAAACGGGAAGCACTAGCATACACGTGTGAAGGTACAACGCTTCAGAAACCTATTTTCATGAGCTCTTGCTGCCACTGAAGTCTCAGTCTAGTTTGAGTACAATACAGCTCCGTTCCCCAAAGCATGTTCTTGGTTTTGCACAGTTTGAGGGCCTCAATCTCATTTTTGGAGTTCTTTCGCTGAATTAGGTGAGCATAAGCAATTGGGGATCATACCTGGAGGTTCCCTTTGATGTTTTATATTCAGACTTTAAGCCCACTTACTGTTTTGAAAAGTAGTGAAGAAATTACTGATTTCTTGTGGGAAATTCTATCTCCTTTTAGTGAATTTTACAGTCCAAAAATCATTTATGGATGAAGTTATATTTAAAATGCCATATTTCCAGAAATTTGTCCTAATGCTACTGCTATTTTATTACTCTTTGGGGTTGAACTCTGAAGTGAGTGATTTATTGCTAAGCTGCATATTCACCAGTCAAATCATACTTGTACTTAAAAGAAGCCGTGTGGGCCACACCATCCACTAACCGGAAAAGTTGCAAGGTAGCTTGTTCACCAATCAAAAATGGATTCCTTATTTCAGATAAAATCTCCAGCTTCAGTTGTGTATGTTTCACATTATAAATTCGGTTGCAAATCAATGGCAATGTCACAGAACTCTCCTTCTTATACCAGAGGAAATTAGAAGAATAGAAATACCGAGCTTGGTGCCTTCTCCCTTTGTAGAACTCTTGCAATGTCAATTGCTAAACTCCTCACACAAAATTTAAAGGGAAAATTCAGGTAAATAAATGAATGTTGAGCTTCTAACAGGGTAATTTGTTAGAGGGACAGCATGGGCCCTGATCCATTCTTTCCTACATTTAAATATTTTTCTTCCCCTCCTTCCCTCTTTTTACCCTCTTCTGTGCTCTCTCGTCCCCCTTTTTGTGCACGTTTCTCTCATTCTTTTCCATTTTCATCTCTTGTCACCTGCTGCTGAGAAGAACCTTTAGCAGGCCCAGTCAGCATTGCACAGGTGTGGATGAAATGTCAGGAGGAAGCAAGACCTGAACCCAAGGCTGACTGTAGCATGCAGCCCCCCAGACAGAAATAAGCTTTATTATTAATACAGAATTATGGCAGAGTTTCTGGTTGCTACACTTTGCCTCCTCGAAGGCACCAGAATCTCAAAATAATAGGCAGAGCCCTTCCAATCCAGTTATCTATAAATGGCAGTATCTAAATGGTCTTCTTAACTCAGGGCTTTTATAAAGATGAAAAGGATTTTATTGAGAATGGCAGAATTCACCCTTTGATATGAAAAGTATATATGGCACTTACTACGGGCTTATTCAATGGCCTTTAAAGGGGATACAATGTGTACTAGTGCCAATTCCCAGTTTTTCTTCACAGTGGAACTGGTTATAAAACATTGACTGGTACTTCAAAGGGAAACCTTCTAACCTAGATCTTATCCTTGTTTTAGGAGTTACTCCTTGTCCCCTACCATCTGTGCTAGGCCGTGCACTTCTTGCTACAAAAATCTAATTAGCAAATGACTGCTTGAGCACTTGCTCAAAATAGTGTGAATGCCATGTGTTTATCAGTTGGCTTCTAACAGTGTTGCTTGCCTCTAATACTGTCTGCACAGTGCGCCACCTGCAGGCCTGGTTGCATGATGCTGTAGCTCTCAGTCGCTTTAACCCAACCTTGGTAGGGGAAGCTGCTCTTTCTTTGCAGGATCAGTCTCTTTTATCTCTGGAAACAGGAAGCGTGTTTACAACCTTGTTTGGTGTAACAATTCACTCTTTCTATGGAGGTCCGAGATGGAAGCATTGCCTGACAGGATGACAGCTTTGGGTTGATGCTGTTGACAGTGCTTCCCAAAGCAGTCACATGAGCAGTCATTGTTAACAACGGCATGCACGATGCCCTGTGAGCCATATAAGCACATTCTTTTCCAATGACCCATTTAGAAAAAAATTAAAAGGAAAAAGCAAATCACTAAATTTCTTCTCCTATAAAATGATTTTCCAACACGCTTCCCTGAATACAAATTAAGAGCATGTTTTGGCATAACAACTCTCTGATGACTCTAGAGAATTTAAAAAAAGAAGAAAAAGAAAAATGTCACAGAAACCCTGAAGCAAAAGTCACCTTTAGGAATGAGGCCCAGAGTCCGCTTATTAAAAAGCATGCCAAGTGATTTTTTATGTGCATGCAGTTTTGGGAATCGCTACACTAAAACAGATAAAATAGCCAACCCATGGTATGGACTGACTAGAGGTAGAAGTTACATTATTTATGCCACAGTCCCCATACTGTACTACCTGTCCCTTTATAATACAGTAACAACAAAATGATTATCAGGATGCCTAGGTAATCCTCTTCATTCATTGGTGAATAATTGTATTATCCTATAAAAGCTCAAATAGCTCAAAAGTAAAACATATATTTTGGTTTATATTGATAGCTTAATTATTTCATGAGTATAATTTCAGTGCACATCAATTGCAAATAGATACCTAGCCTGTGTATTCATTTTTTTTCATAAACGCATATTGCTACAGCTTATGGAAAGGACTTAGTTGTGTTTCCTTGATCTGCAATGTAATTTGTACAAGTACATAAAAAGAAAATCATATAACCCAAAATTTAATTTCTTTTCAGGAAGTCATAATTTATTAGTTATGAAATGCTATAGAACTTGTTGTAATCGGCTTAGATGAATTATTACTGTGCTGTGTAAGCAAAAGATGCATTACTCCTTCACAATATTGTGCTGATACAATCGTCTTGAATGGTAGAATCCATAATTATCCTTAGGCCTTCAAATTCTAGAAGTCAGCCATTATTAAGACATTTAGAGGAAATAGGGGGATTTGTTTACGTCGCTAAATTCTCTCATTCTGCTGACCACAAAGCAAACTAATTACATACAACAATAATGTTATTTTTATTGATATCTCTCAAAAAGAATTGAATGCCTTGGCTCATCTCATTGTGGTAACCTTCCCTGAATAAGGGCAAGGAATCTGGAACATAACCCCACCTATCTTAAAAATGGATATATTTTAATGAGCAACTTAATTATTCTTATGTTTCAGAGATGTAGCTCTGTCTCTTTTCATTTTTTTAATGATGAATTTGATGTGTCTGTTAGAAACAGCATCTGACTGCCCAAAAGCGTATGCATGTAGCTGACTGAAATCCTCTGTAAGATCCTTCAACCATATGATCTCAATCTTCAGCAAAGCAACCCTTGACCAGAGAGCACAGCAATCAACTTTTGTCATATTTTACCTAGCATTAGCCTCTCAACTTTATACCTGCTGGGCAATAAGGAATTGAAGATCACTGCTTTAAAGGAAATAATACTCCATGCCAGTAGTTCTTGAACTTTAGCGTATATCAGAACACACACCTTGCAGAATTTCATCCCCAGAGTATTTGATTCAGTGGGTCTGGGTTGGGACCCCATGATTTGCATGTGTAACAAATGCTACTGGTCAGGGGTCACATGTTGAGAATTACTGCTCTTTTCTTTTAGAACAGCAACCAGGTAATTAGGAAATGGCTCCAAATACCCCTCTGTCTTATCCATGCACCTTCCCTAAATGACCTGTATAATACATTTTCAGTCTTGAGAACACATGGGACTCAGTGTGTTTGAATGGACCTTAAGACAGCATGTAATAGTGCAGGCAAATATTCAGATTAAATATTTAGATAAGATTCTCAAATTATGGGTGTCCAATTTGTAGTCATGTACAAATACCCAACATTTCCTTTTTAACATTCTGGACTTATGCTTACATATGATATAAAATATTATTGAAAGAGGTGGTATAGTTGTAAAGAGGCTAAGCTTTATGTTAAGGTTTCTGATCTGTCCCACCTTTTCTCCTTAA